AAAGAACTCATAAACACCAGAAACCATGCTATAAAAACCCAAATCAACTCAGTCAAAAACGAAATAGAAAAGCTAATTAAAATCCAGCAACGCGACAATTGGAACAACTTTTCCAACAAACTTGATAACCTTGAACCAGACCCGTCTACCTTCTGGAAAACTTTTAAAAGCACATGCCGTGAAAATAATGATGCAGGCAACATACTGTACGAAAACCTCACAGCCTCTACTAATAAACAAAAAGCAGAACTATTTGCACGCTATTTCGGAAAAACATTTGTTACCCCACAGGATGCCAGATTCAATAGTAAACACCAGGACAAAATTAACTCCTTTATCAATGCTAACACTACATTCTTTTCCACCTCTTTCCCGGTCAACACACTCCTAGTTCACCACTGGACATATCTACCCCTATAACCACACCTGAAATTAAAATTCATCTAAAAAACCTCAAAAACAAAGCACCCAGTGACGACAAAATCCCCAACATAGTTCTAAAAAATGCATCCCCCAAATTTCTGTCACATCTTACCAACCTATATAATCTATCTCTTCTCTTTGGTTATCTCCCCAATGCATGGAAGTCAGCTGTCATCATGGTTATCCCCAAAAAAGGCACCCAATCAATAAATCCAAGCGATTTCAGACCCATCAGCTTAATTAACTGCACTGGCAAACTTCTAGAGAAAATTATAACACAAGGTTATTATGGATGTTAGAAAACAACAATACATTATCACAGGACGCAAAAACAGACAGACTGCAGACCACCTCGTTCGACTAATTGAGACCACGTTTACAGGATTTAATAAACTACAAGCCACTATTGCCACTTTCTTAGATGTACAAAGAGCTTTTGACACGGTCTGGCACAACGGACTTAAGTACAAATTAATAAAGCACAAAATACCCACGACATTCACAAAATGGATTTCTAACTTCTTAGACAATAGATTTGCAAAAGTTAAAATCAACGCTTCAGTCTCATAACCCTTCACGTTTAATGCAGGTGTACTGCAGGGGTCTGTCTCAAGCCTTCTGCTATATACACTCTTTGTTAACGATCTACCACAGCCAACCATGTCTCTCACTCCCGCCTCACAATACGCCAATGATATAGCCCTATTCGATGACGAGGAACCCACTTTGAGACTAATAATGGTGCAACAAATGGTAGATAATACTTAATCCCACTAAAACCCAGGCAATTATATTTTTCCGAAGATTAAACAAACGACTTAAGCGTGTCAAGTTAGCCAAATTGAACCTCTACAATAACCCGATCTCATTCTCTAAATTTGCTAAATTTTTAGGAATAACCATAAACCCTAAACTAACTTGGCACACACATTTCAAGGAAATTAGCAAGAAAACTAAAACTAGAATAGCTTACCTTCACAAAATAAGTCACCACGCTCATGGATGCAGACCACAAATAATAATGTACATTTATAAAACATTTATCAGACTGTTACGTATCTGGTCGTTTGATAATTTCCCGTAAAAATTCTTTCCGAGAAATTTCAGCGATACAAGTCCTTTCTTAATTAAAACTAGTTTATTATTTCTCGATACAACTTTATAATACACAGAATTTCCACAGTCACTTTAGCTTAAACA